CAGGGCCTGGTCCTAGGTCCATAAAGGTATTGGGGTTGCAGAGGGGCAGTGGCACTGTGAGGGGGGGCAGCACCCAAGCTAAGGGCACCGGGGTCCAGGAGGGACACAGGGGCCAATGACAGGCAGGACACCTGGCCTGCAGAGGGCGCTCTGATGACTGGTGAGCTAATTCCTGAGATGACCAGCAGGAGGGGCCGCAGGGGTGGGTCCGGGCCTGATTACACTGATCCTTGAGAGGACCTTCCCTCTTATCCCCTGACTGCTCACTTTGCTTAAGATCTTGCCTTTGGTGTGGGGCCTTGTCAAAGGCTTTCTGAAAGTCCAGGTACACTACATCCACTGGATCACCCTTGTTCACATGCTTGTTGACCCCCCTCAAAGAATTCTCCTCTATGGGTGAGGCATGATTTCCCTTTACAAAAGCCCTGTTGACGATTCATCTTGGGGTCTGATCTTTACTATAGTTTCAATCAGTTTGCTTGGTACTAAGTTAGGCTCATTGGCCTGTAATTGGGTCAGGGACCATAGGGCTCAATGCTGGTCCACAGGGTGCTTTGGAACTAGTAGGTTTCATCCTGCCACCCAGAGACCTGCTAACAGTTGTCTGAATAGGAGCTGAACTCAGAGAGTGGACCCCAGTCCTGGGAGCTGATTGGTCGAACACTGGGGGCTCTGATTGGCTCACAGCCCCTCTTTAAACCCAGTACGTGCAAGGGGGATTGACCTTGCTCAGGGCCGTGTGCCTTGTGCTTCCAGGTCCTGCGGTTTGATTTCTTGGTATCCTGAGCAGGCCTGACTGGCTATCAAGCCGTGGTTCTGCTCTCAAGTTGTCGCCGGCTTCTGTTCTCCTGGTAACCTGACCCTGCCTAACTCCTGACACTCCACTTGCATTTTGCTCTCTGGCCTACCTTGGACGCTGACCTCCTGGGATCTGACTCCTGCTCTGACCACTAGGTCAGACTGCCCACTCCCAGTCATGACAAATTGCTAGGGTCACTATTGGAGCCTGTTTTGAAAATTGGTGTTACCCATAGGCCATCTCACTCAGCAGCCTGTCTGCCAAAGAGGCCACATGTGTCAGAAGAAGATGTAATCTTCCATAATGCAGCCCGGGCCCTGCCTGCACTATCCGTGTTAGCCCAGTTTGCAACCAGTGAGTGACGCGAGTTGGCTGGTGGGTGGCTTACGTGAAATGAGTTTGCAGGGCCTCGATCCATTTGCTGGGGGACATCGCCCAACGCTGCCTGCGATTGGCAGCCTCAGTGGTGAGGCCAAGGCGTGAGTGGCATGCACCTTGCAGCCCTCGAGAGTCTCTCCACCTTGCAGCATAGGTAGGCCATCTTGCTCTGACACTGCCCCAGCTGTACCAAGATCTTCCCTCTCCAGGATGGTAGATTTGGTCCACTTTTATCAGCGTTACATCGATTATCTTGATTTAAAAAGACATGCAAAGCCCTGCTCCTTGTCCCCTCATTCCATCGTGAAACACGAAGGATCCGTGTGGTATTTTCCCCCAGCAAACCCGTCGAGACCCTCCCGACACCAGCTGACACCTGTCCCCTCACAGGGTGATTCTTGCCGGACATTAGCGAAATGTATCACATGCCGCACAGTCTTTTTTCCCCCACCCTCTTCTGCCATCTACAGTATCAAACCACTTACGCTCTGCGAGTACTTGAGCTTTGATGCCTGGTCCTTGGAGGACTATTGACTTTTGTGAAGCACTCTGATGAGCTGAAGTGCTTGGAGGGGCACTTCCCTCCCATGGAGCACCCTTAGGTACCGTGCCAGAGCCGCTTTGGATGTGTCTCGGTTTCGGTGCAAGGCAAGCACGAGGAAGGGGGCGTTTTCAGGTGCTGCTTTAACAGAGCCCTTACATTAATTAGTACTTACTGAGCTAGGAGCCCCATTGAATTCAATGGCACCGTTCGGTTAAGTGGTGTTTAGACACAGATGGCAGAATCCAGGGCCCTGTCTCCAGATCTGCTCCCGCGACTCCTTTATTGACCCTCCGGAAGGCGAATCCTGTCTCGTCTGTCTATTCCGCGTGTCTAAAGGACCTGGGTGTCCCGGCACGACTAGGAATTCGGGATGGGAGGGAGAGGAACTCTGCAAAAGCCTCCAATACTTGCGCCGAGGAAGATAGGATTTATTAGCCCCATTTTGCAGATGGGGAAAATGAAGCGCAGGGAAGGTAAGTGACTCGGCCGAGGTCACACAGGGAGCCAGGGCTGGGACTGGAACCCAGGAGTCCCTGACTCCTAAACTTGTGCTGTGCTGTCATCCTTCTGCTCGCTTTTTCAGAACGCTGCTAGATCTCCAGGGCCTATCTCTGGTCTGATCTGCACCGCTGCAAATACATCCCCGCCCCTGGCGTCCTACCCGCCTGAGAGAGAATAGGGCATGGGGACGGAGATGAGCTAGGCTTGGAGGGGATCCCTGCACGGACAAATCTGTATCTGACCTCAGACAGCGGCCCACACCTGGTGCATCAGGGGAAGGTGAGACTCCCCTAAGGCACCTGGCACACACAGAGGAGAAGGGTCCCACCAAATTCTTTCCTAAGCCGGCAGCATGAGATCTGCTTAGCCCCAGTACCTCGCCTGGCCCTTAGGAACCGACTCTTCCCATCTCCCAGGCTCTGGGGAAAGCTGCAATTGCCAGGGAGGAGAAGGAAAACCAGGCGAGGCAGCAGCGGCCACCGGCCCCTGTTGTGTTTAAGGCGGTGTCTCTCCTCCAGCCCCCCCAGCAGGTCCATTGTGTGCAGCCAGCGGGAGCGAGGAGAGCGGTGCCAGGCGAATGCCAGCTGCGCTCTGTAGCGCGCGCGGCGAGGTGCAGGAGCAGCCGAAAAAGCCGGGGGCAGCTGTGTTAGGAGGAATACGGCTCGGTTGCTGAGGTCTGTGTTGGGGAGGTTTCTGGCGCCCGTAATGAATGAATTGTGGCAGGAGCGCGGGTATAAAAGGAAGCGGCGGGGCTTGGGCACCTCATTCCCAGCCGCGGACCTGCTGCCTTTCCCCCCCTCTGGCTCGGTTTGCGGAGTCCCTGCCGGCAGGTAGGCAGCTGAGGTGTTCTCCGCGTGCCGGGCTGGGGGGGCGCCCCGTCCCCCCCGCCGCTGGGGTTCACTGCTCGCAGGGCTGGGGGGCGCCTAGGGCCCCTCGAAGCCAGCCAGCCTAGCCAAACCCCGATGGCGTAATTGTGCGGGGGGATCGCTCCTTCGTCGCATCCGGAACGGGAGGGTTAGCAGGGGAGCCGTGCTGCCTTCTTCCCCCCCGCCCTAGAAGTTAGTTGGAGGCCGGGCTGGGGCTGGCAAGGAGCCGCCTGCAGCCCCCTGCGCCCGCGGGATGCCAGCCACAGGTGCCCGTCTGAAAACTTCCCGCCCCTTGTGGAGCCGGGGATGGGGGGGGGGCACGGCTGCAGGGTGGGGGAGCGGGGACTCCCAGCCCGGGCTAGCCCCTCCGCAACTGGCCGGTGGGCGCTGAAATGCCTCGTCTCCGCCAGGTTGGCGAGGGCGCAGCCGGTGCGCCCTAGCTGGCTGCCCGCCGCGGGGCAAAGCAGGGGCGTGGGAGCGGGGGCGACCCCAGGCGCTTCGTGCCCCGGGCGCCCCTGGAGGGGGGCAGCGGCTGGCAAGTGGCCCCCAGGGCCGAACAGAAGCGCGGCTGGCGCTGGCCCCCCTCCCCGGTGGGCTCCGGGCCCCGCTCCGCCCGCCCCCGTGGCGCTGGGCGCTGCGGCTGTTTGTTTCCCTCCGCCGGGGGTCGGTTTTCGGAGGCTGGCTTGGCCCGGGGCGGGGGGACGCTAGACATTCCCGGGAGCCGGGGCTCGGCAGCGGAAAGAAGTTAACCGAGGCGAGCGGCGGCGGGGGCTGGTGGCCCCGGGGCTGGCAGGCGGCGCCGGGAGCGCTAATGCGGGGGAAGTGATTTCAAATCCAGGTCAGATTGGGGTGGGGGGACCCTGTGGCCAAGGGGGGGCACCCCCCGGAGCAGCCTCTGCAGCCAGAGAAGTGTTTGCAGAGCTCAGGAGAGTGTTGGCTACAGGGCTGGGCGAGTGACTCAGGTCGGCCGGGAGCCACTGGCTCCAGGCAGCCCCGCTCGGCGGGCCGGGCCCTGAAGTTGGCCGGGGAAATGCCGCGGCTCGGGCGAGTCATGGCAGGTTCGCTGGGCTCGGAGCGGGGGGGTTGTGAAGCAGCAGGTTGGAGCGGGGCGATTGGGAGGAGATTTTTTGGGGGGGGTGTGTGAATAGGAGCAAGAAGAAACCCGCTCCAGCACCCTGCAGCGAGGGAGGGCTGGCAGATACACCGACCTTCCCATACCTCCCAGGGAGGGGCAATCCCCTTCCCCCCCCACCTCACAGATATGGCCCCCGAGCCCCATAGTAAGGCTCCAATCCCCCCCTGACGCTGTGGAAAGGTGGGGGGGCAATCCCCACTGAGCCCCATTGTAAGGACCCCAATTTCCCCAAGCCCCACAGTAAAGGCCCAATCCCCCCTGACTCGAGCCCCATTGTGAGGACCCCGATTCCCCGCCTGAGTCCCACAGAAGGGTGGGGGTCCAATCCCCTTCGAAGTCCCATAGTAAGGCCCAATCCCCCCCCCCTCGAGTCCCACAGAAGGGTGGGGGTCCAATCCCCCCCAAGCCCCATAGTAAGGCTCCAATCCCTCCTGACCTCCACCAAAGGGTGGGGGCCCCAGTTTATTTGCCATTCCAGACCCCCGCCCCCAGTGACCCTCGACTCGGTTTCTGACCCTGGGTGTGACGAGCCCCTTGGGCTTTGCTTGTTTATCTTACAGAGGGTGAGTGACGGGGGGAGGGTCAAACTGCTACTCCACCCTCCTTGGCTTCCTCCCTCCCCTCCACCCCAGAAGCAGCAGCATGTGGCTCTTGGAGAGGATCCGGGGCTCGGTGGAGAATGGTGCCGCCCGGGCCGGCGACTCGGGGGATAAGCAGTCCAAGGGCCCCCTGTACAGCAACGTGCTGACCCCCGATAAGATCCCGGATTTCTTCATCCCGCCCAAGCTCACCACGGTGCCGGCCGAGGCCGAGGGGGCGGAGGGGAAAGCCAAGCCCAACCTTGGCACCTCGGCCTCGGAGCAGAACCTGTCGGCCCGCAAGCCCCCGCGCAGCCCCCGCCTGCCGGTCAAGGCTGCCTCGGAGAGCAAGAACCTGCTGAAGGCTGCCAGCCGGCACATCATCCAGATCGAGAGCGCCGACGAGTGGGCCTCGGAGGAGGACTTCAGCACCAACGCCGACCCCCAGGCCCAGACGGCCATGTCCCTCCCCTACGTGCCCAAGGCCCAGACCTCCTACGGCTTTGCCACCCTCATGGAGAGCCCCCATACCCGGCGCAAGGAGTCCCTCTTCCACAGCGAGCACGGCAGCCTGTGCCAGTCGCAGGCGACCTCGCCCAGCTCCCAGCGCAAGGCGGGGGCCGGCGGGGGCAAGGTGAACGGGGAGAGCGCCCGCCTGACCCCCTCCGACATCGGCATGTCCCTCATGAACCCCTACCGCTACTTCAGCGGCGGGGAGAGCGACACCTGCTCCTCGGCCGAGTCCTCGCCCTTCAGCTCGCCACTGCTCTCCCGCTCCGTCTCCCTGCTCAAAATCTTCAGCCAGGACAGCCAGGCGAAGGTCATCAAACTCAAGCACTCGGTGGCCCGGAACAGCTCCCTCTCCACCGACGACAGCTCGGCCGACACCAGCCCCAGCTCGCAGCGGCGCATGCGGTGCGCCACGCCCCCGGCGGGGGCGGCGGGGGGCACCCCGGCCCAGTCCCTCCTGCCTTTGGACTCGCCGGACCGCCTGCACAAGGAGCACACCATCCGGCTGAGCAAAGGCGGCAGCATGCGGCTCACGGCCGAGTACGACGCCGCCAACGCCCGGCTGCGGGTGCGGGTCATCGCGGCCGAGGAGCTGTTCGACAAGCTGTGCGACGCGCGCTCCATCAACTGCTGCGTCTCCCTCTGCCTCAATCCGGGCAAGGTGCAGAAGCAGCGCAGCACCATCATCAAGAACAGCCGCAACCCCGTCTTCAACGAGGACTTCTTCTTCGACTGCCTGGGCGCCGGCAACGTCAAGAAGATGGCCCTCAAGGTCAAGGTGGTCAACAAGGGCAGCAGCTTGAAGCGGGACACGCTGCTGGGCGAGAGGGAGCTCCCGCTCACCTCTCTGCTGCCCTTCTTATAAGCCCGTCTTCCACCTCCCTGCCGCTCTCCTGCCCTGCTGGGAGGGGATGGGCAGGGAGGCGGTGGGGAGGAGGGATCAGGCCACCATGAGGGATGAGGGGCGTGGGATGCTCCCCCGGGGTAACGGCATGTCCATTCCAGGCTGTGTGTGTGTGTGCATGTGTGTGTAGGGGGGACAGGACTCATCCGACTCCCCCAGGATGGGTCTCCTTTGCTGATCATTCTCTGCATGGACGTGCCTGGAGGCAGTGGCTGCCGTGTGTCCCCTCGGGAGGCCGTGAGCGGCTAGCAAGTTGTATGTTCTTCTCTAGAGAAGTGGTGGGGATGAGGCATGCTGGTGGCCTACGTTCTCCGGGGCCCTGCTGGAAGGCTTTGATGGGAGGTGGGTTATCCCTGTGCGGCTCGAGGACGGCCTCGCACAAATGAGGCGGTAGTAGGGATTTCAGCCTCACAGCTCAGCAACCCCTTCTTCCCCCCCCCCCATACCCCCCTGCTTTCCTGGGAGCACTTGCCAGTCGGTTTCTCATCTACACGCTGGGTCCCAAGACCTGGCTGCCTTTGAGTGAGGTGTGGAAGGCCCTCGCAGGCCGTTCCTGCAGGCTTGATGTGGGGCATGCAGGTCAGTCCGGCTGATGCAGTGCGGCACAAAGACTCTTCTCTCCCCCCCCACCCCGCCCTACCAACGGGGGCAGGGGTGGAAGTGGCAGGGACAGCTGATGGAGTGTAGAGCTGGGAGAACGATGCCGCAAGGCTGAATTCCTGCCGTGGCGGGACGGTTTCTGAGGCGCGGCCTAGTCAGTAATGGGGAGAAGGGACGCTCTAGGGAACAACCCAGTGCTGTCTGGTGGGGAGGGAAAAGATGACCCCACCAGCCTCTTCCATCTCTAATTTCTCTCCTCCTCGGCTGGCTGATGGGCAGAGAGAGGGCAGGGGTTGTTGGACAGGGCTCTGCCAAGTCTCACAACATTGATATGTCTCTTAAAGCTCCAGCTTCTGGAGTCTGGGGATTGCAACAGAATTTCCGCTTGCTTTTAAAGACATTTCTAGCCCTCATGGTTGTAAAGTAAAGCTTGAAGCCGTGACTCTAGTAGTTCAGAAGACAAATAAAATGAGCTTCAAATTTTTCACTTACATTCTGTTTTGCCAAAGGCTGGGAATGGGCGACAGGGGATGGATCACTTGATGATCACCTGTTCTATTCATTCCCTCTTAAGCACCTGGGGCATTAACTACTGTTGGAAGACAGGGTACTGGACTAGATCGACCTTTGGCCTGACCCAGTTTGGCCAGGCATGAAAATTTCACTCGGTCCCTCTGAGGTTGCCAGGGGCAGCTTTTAATGCCCCATCGATGTGAAAAGCTCCCTCTGCGACCGCTCCGAAGCCCATGCCGATCTTCCCAATGGCGTTCGGCTCAGGCTCTTGTGCTCGAGAGGTTGCTTTACCTCCCCCAGCCCCAGAGTGCCGTCTAGATAGCTATGGCCGTGGGGGGCTCTCCTTCCTCTGGGGAAGGGGCTTCTACAGCTCTGGCAGGGGCTAGCTTGGAGAAGTGATTGCTTCCACCGCAGATGGGAGCCTCTTCCCTCTGATCCAGAAGACTTCTGCCTCTGGCTGCTGCCTTAGCTACTTCTGGGAAACCTCATGCCATCCAGAAGATGCACTGTCCACCCCCCTCCACGCACTTCCTTCATCCCTGCGCTCTGCCGAAGGGGGGGGGATGGACAGTCTGATCTACTCTGTTTAAAAGCAGCAACCGTATTTAATCCCCGCCAGGCTGCCTGTGGCTAACCTCCACGACCCTTAAAGGTAGGAATGCATCTGCACACCCGAGGACACGGTGGTGCATTAATAACCCTCTGGGATTATCCAGAGCAGCACCCAGGAAGCCACTGCAGGGAGCAGCAGGGCCAACAGCCACAGTGTCTCACACAGGGAGGTGGGACCCTGGCTCTGAGCATTGCACAAACTGGTTTGACCGCTGCCAGGGAAAAAATCAAGTGCGCAAAATCAAAAGCAACGACTGAGTCCTGGCCTGCCCTTGCCTCTGAGCGCTTTATGCCGCGGGGGCGGAGGTGCAGGAGGGGAGACCAAAGCGCAACGTTTGTTTGTTTGGCTTATCCATTTCCTCTTGGCTTATAACCTGCTTTGGGAGGGCAGAAACCTTTGCACGGGAGCTGCGAGTGTCAAGATGCCGCATGAGCGGCCTCTGGGTTCGTTAGCGCTGGCGGATTCCTAGTGCGTAGGAGACGGGTTTGCTGGAGCAGAGACAACAAGGGTTACACCGTTAACATCCACAAAAGAGAAGCTTGGGGGAGAAACCCACGGGTGGGGAAGGCTCACTTGGCCGTGGTTTACACCAGGACCAATCCCTACAGAAGCCCTCCCAGCCTTTGACAGAATCTGCCCTGACAAACAGCCAGTGCTGTGGGAATTTCCCCCCCAATCCCATTACGATTCTGTTTCTCTGTCGCTGCAGACTGATTAGAATAATCAAATCAGACAATGGTTTGGGGGGCGGGGGGGAGGTGCATCTCTCCAGCCTTGTCCAGGGAAATCGGTGACTCTGGAAGCTACTGCAGTGTCGTGAGAAACCCCTTTCCCCTGGGCTGGCATACTGGGGAATCAGATGCTGGCTCAAGACGAGGGTGCTAGTCTGGGCCCCTGGTTCTTTTCTCCTCTTGATCGTCTTTCTTTCTTTTTAATTGGGGAGCAAACTGTTTTCTTTCGCCACCTCCTGTTGCTTCCCTCCCTTCCCCTGTGGTTCTGGAACTAGAATTCAGCAAAACTAGGAAGGCTGTGTGTGTGGTGTGGTGGTGGTGGGGGGGTTGTTGGGGATAGGGAAAAACAGAGACCTTTATTTGTCCTTTTCTGTGATATGAATGTTGCATCAGGTTCTCTGCATGGTTTGGGTTTTTTTTTCCTGGGGCGGGGGGGATTCTATGAGCCAATATCCCCACCGCCCTCCTTGCACACGCGTGCACACGCTGATCATTGTTCCTTTTTTTGCATTAACCTTTCTTGGCTGCGTTTGATGTTACTTTCCGATACTACGCAGCAGATGGCCGCTGCAGAAATTTCAGTGTAAGCTATTTATATGCCAAGCCGATTGTTCCCCCTGTATTTTATTTCTGTATGTAAATACGGCTTTGGATCTACCCAAGGCACGGTTTTGAATAGTTCAATATTTGCATGTCTTCTCCCCCCCCCCCAGTTCTATTGATATGATTGTTACTGATTTTCAAGCTTGTGATTTTGTTTAAAAAAAACCAAAAAACCCGGAATGAAACCAAGACGCCCTCGCCAAAAAACTAAAACCCAACCCCAGCCCTGAGACCTTCAGGGGGTAAATTTGGCCGGCTGCTGCCTCTTGTGATCCATTTCAGAAAGAGCTATGCACAGTGTGGGCTTGATGCTCCTAGAAATCAATGAGACAATTCCCATTGACTCCAGTGGTGCAGGATCACCCCATGCCGGCCTGCTCTCCTTTTGGATGATTTGTGGCAAGCCTCCCTCTTTTTGTAGCTGTCCCCCGTCTGTCTGCGTGACGCTGGTGGTGCCTGGGGCATGCAAAGCAGGACGTTGAGCTGGGGCTGTGAACTGCTTCTAAGCCTGTGGAGGGACTAGAGGAAGGCTGGATTCTGATGGTTACTTAGGTAAAGCTTCCATTGGGGCTGTCTGCTGGAACCCTTACTTGGCACTTACTCAGACAAAGTCAGTGGGAGCTTTGCCTATGTGCAAACTTCAGGGATTGGCCCCATGGGACGGCTACCCGAGAGAACCCGGGTCTAGAGCTCTGTTCCCAACTCTATCACTGGTCTGCTGAGTGACCGTAGGCCAGTCACGTCCCTGCTTTGTGCCTCAGTTTCCCCATCTGTACAATGTAAAGCACTTGGAGCGGTATGGACGAAAGCACCGTGTAAGAGGCGTTTATTATTAACTCGCGTGAGTAAGTGAACATCAGGATCAGGCCCTTTGTAAGGATTGGCCCATCTGAATGCGGGATGGTGCCCTTATCTGGGGGCGACTATCCTAACCCCTCTTTGATAACCGCTGTGCGGGGCCCAATCCAAACCGCACTGACATGAATGGAAAGATTCCCGTTCACTGCGGTGGGACTCAGGGTGCGAGGACAGGGTGAACTGTCATGTGCCTAGAGCAGGGTTGCTGTGGGTCATCTCACGAGAAGGTTCTTGGATTGCAGCTAGCGTCTTAAAGGCACAAAAGTGTGTGTGTGTGTGTGTGTGTGTCAAGTACCTCTCCATAAACTAAATCCGCCACATTACTGTGCATGACTCCACTAATCTCCGGCCTGGTTTAACAGCAGATCAGACTCCCTGGGATCAGCGTGAACAGAGCCAATGGGTCAGCCAACGCCTGCCATGGCAAGTAACTCACCGCAGTAAGCTGTGCTTCAACCTTGCCGTGAGAGTAATGCCTAGTAATCAAATGCTAATGAGTTCATTTACAGACTAATACATTGACTTTAGTGATGTGCGTTCTCTTTACTTCGAATAATTGTTCATGAGGGTGGCTAGGAGACTTCCTGGCATGTTTATTCATTTTTCAAATCATTTGCAACAAACACAAATCGTTTAACAAGTCATTGTTTTTGCTTTGCAATAGGATTCAGAAATCCCCCCCCCCCATGTGCATTCCCCTTTGGAGCAGTCTGCAAAACTCTTGGGAATATTAACAGGAATTAGAAGGGAGGCTGCGTACCAAAAGCTTTTGAGTCAGACAGGGAGTTGGTGAATTGCCGAATATTCAGGTGGTTCGATTAATCCCGCAGGCTACCGGAAAGCTGCCTTTTGTTAGCTCCACTGGACCACTGACTTTCAAACTGATGTGGCCTGATTCCTAACCGAGTGAGCACTAGAGCAGCTTTGGGTTGAAATGCGGAAGAACGGACCCATGATTGGAGTTTGGCATCCAACCAAGATGCCAAGAAGCAATATGCCGCTCCGAAGGAATGAGGCCGCTGGGCTTTGGGTAGCGCTGGCTCCGGGTCTCCCTTCCTTAGCAGGGCTGAAGGAAGGGAGTGCTAGGAAATTGGGTGGCTCATAATTTATTGTCTGGAGGTTGTGCGCACCTGTGTGTTGGCTTGCCGTTTCAGTTCAGCACTTTTAGGAGTGTGGCATCTTCCGAGGAGAGCTGGTGTTTCATGAGTTAGATGGTGGGCTATGAACAAAGGATGTCCTTCGGGGGGAGGGATAGCTCAGTGGTTTGAGCATTGGCCTGCTAAACCCAGGGTTGTGAGTTCAATCCTTGAGGGGGAGGGAGGGGGAGGTGGATAAGCAGTAACCGTAGATGGCCTGACTTTCAAAGTTGCTGAGCCCGTG